TAGAATTAATTTTACGTGTTTCGATGTACTCCCTTCTCATTTTTGTCAACTCTATTTGTAGAACTATTGTGTTCTGAATCTCTCATCAATCGACAGCCGTATCATCCCAGGAATCAGTCTGGTAGATTTTGCTGTAGCCGGGCAAGATCTGCAGATGCTGTCTCACCAAAGTCCTGCATAATTTTTCTGGTACTCATTTGTGCTTATAACTAGCACTCTTGCAATAAAGGTTGACATTACATTTACCTTCCTATTGGTTGTATGCTCGTGCATGTTAACTTTCCATGATCTCTGTACTAGAAAGGACACAATCCTATGGAATACCAACATTTCCCAGTATCTCAACTCAGTACAAAAATAGGCTTTTCCATTTTTTCTACCAATAAAGGTAGAAAACCTTTAAAAAGATAGAAAGAGGTAGTAAACTGTTCTACTGTTCTTTTAAAAACATTGCCCTCAGATCTCAAAATCTAGTTGAACATTCATATGTAGCCTAGTTATAATGTCCCATAAATTCAAAGTGCAGCATTTTCTTAATGATGTATGGAGTGTTGGACTTGATTGTTGCACTCAGCCTAACTGGTACTTGATCCTGAAACCTTGTGATTTTAAAGAGATGAGAGATACCAAATGGCCATGGCTAACAGAGTAGTGAAGAAGGCGTTTGGTGCACTTACCTTTACTGGTCAGTGCTTTGAGTATACGAGTTGGGAGGTCATGTTGCAGCTATACAGGACATTGGTCAGGCCAGTTCTGAAATACTGTGCTCAATTCTGGTTTCCCTGATTATAGGAAAGATGTTTTTAAACTTGAAAGGGTTCAGAAAAAATTTACAAGGATGTTGCCAGGGTTGGAGTGTTTGAGCTATAAGGAGAGGCTGAATAGGCTGGGGCTATTTTTCCCTGGAATGTCGGAGGCTGAGGGCTGACCTTATAGAAGTTTATAAAATCATGAAGGGCATGGACAGGGTGAATAGTCAAGGTCTTTTCATCAGGGTAGGGGAAGTCCAAGACTAGAGGGCATTGGTTTAAGGTGAGAGGGGAAAGATTTAAAAGGGACCTAAGAGGCAGTTTTTTCATGCAGAGAGTGGTGCGTGCCTGAAATGAGCTGCTAGAGGAAGTTGTGGATGCTGGTACAATGACAACATTTAAAAGCCATCTGGATGGGTATATGAATAGGAAGGGTTTAGAGGGATATGGACCAAATACTGGCAAAAGGGACTAGATTAATTTAGGATATCTGGTCGGCATGGACGAGTTGGATCGAGAGTTTGTTTCCGAGCTGTACATTTCAATGACTGTACAAACTATCAGTGCTTAATTATAGCAACACATAGTTGATTTGATCATCCTGTAAGCAACATGGCTAACAAACAGTTGGATCCTGCACAATTCTATATCCGTTATGGCAATAGTATGTTACGCAATAGTTTCCACTTTGGCTTCTTGCCTGTTGCTTCTATTGACATAACATTGGATTGTGGATTCTAGCTGAAGAAGCCTTCTATTGGTGCATACAGCAGACATTACTCCACCAGTATTCTTTACATTTATACCATACATAATTTAGTTGTTTACAATCTTAGTTTGAAAACCAGGGGAAAATAGCTTTATTGTCTTGTATTCCAGTTTGTTTGTGTTCACAGTATATTCAGCATCACTTATTGAGGTAATCGAAGGCAGGCCTTTCCTTAGCATAAGTTAGTTGGGGATGTAATTGAAGCTTTGTCTGTCTTTTTTCATCCCAATTCTCCCAAGTAACCGTGGGCAATATTCATGTAACCCTTGGTTTGTCTCTGAACATTATTGACAAAAGTGTGTCGGCCCTTCCGTTGCGCCATCCCTCGTTATCTTCCTTCTTCTCCCCCACCAGTAAGAGAGAACAGAGGGGCAGTAACTAATACCTGTTTCTCTGGTTCCCTGTCCCTGTCATAGTAGGTTCTCAACATATTCACATGACATACCCAATAAAGATTTCTCCTATCTGGCATCTTTACCAAATAATTCACCCGACTCAGCAACTTCTCAATCTGATAAGTACCACTAAACCTTTGCTTTGAAGGGATCTCCTACCACTGGTAACAGCACCAATACTTTATCCCCACGGCCAGATGTTTGAATTTTAGATTTCTTATCTGCTTCTTGCTTCATTAAATGCTGTGCTACCTTCAGATGTTGTCCAGCTAATTCACTGACTCTTGTTTAATTTTTCTGTCACCTCAGATGCATAATCCAGCTGTGAGATCTCTAACTTCGGACCTATCAACTTTTCCTTAATTAATTTTAAAGGTCCTCTTACTTTGTGTCCGATTTTAATCAAATGGAGTAAACTGAGTCGATTCATTTGGGGCATCTCTAATGGCAAACACAGTAAATAGAATACCTTTTATCCCAATCGTTTTGGTAATCCTGGCAATAAGCCCTCAGCATGGTTTTTAGGGTCTGATGCCACCTTTCCAATGCTCTCTGGGATTCAGGATGGTACGCACTCGATTTAAAGTGTTTGATGCCTAAACTATCCATGACCACCTTTAAATAGATGGGCAGTAAAATTGGACCCTTGGTCTGACTGAATCTCCCCATTTACGTAAACCCAATTAATAAGACAACGATAAATTAAAACTTAATCTCTCCAAGTTCTTACAGGCTGTCTTCTGGAACACTCTGCCTTCTTTAACCTTTCTCCTGTTGATCTCACATCACAAATGTCTTTCTTCTGATTCTGCTGTCAGGGATGTTTTTCTCTGTAATTGCTTCTGTGAGGACTTCTGGCTAGAAATGCCATGGTACCTTTTAATTAGATGGTGTTTTCTCTGAGAGCTAAAAGGTGTTGTCTCTTGGGAGTTGGCTGTCCCTGATTTTTCAAGTACCCCCATCTTTATACCCCTGATGACATAACAATATTTCTTATGTAGGATTGGTTCGATATTGTCAACACATCAGATTTAAATTTAATAGGTTTATAATACTTCAGGGCTTAGTTTAAATTGGCTAAATTTGAAAAGATTTGTCTTGGTAAAAATGCTGCTTGGTTGTACGATACAAAATATTTCCATTCAGGTGCTCTCTCTCTGCACCTGCACTTCAAGCTGCTGATCAGGCATCCATTTTAACCCTAAGCACTGAAGAAAAACACCATCTTTTAAAGGGACGACACACTGATTTTCCCCCAATATCATTTTTACCAACAAATTCTAACTTCACAGATTGGATGGGACGGCTTTACTGTGAGTAAACAGAAGACCCACAATGTCTCAACCATAATACAATTCTTTGTCACATTGCTCAGAGCAAGTGGTTAACCTTTCGGTTTCTGCCACATATCTACTTTGAGTTTTTGAGTATGAAAGTCATACTTGTCGAAGGTAATTTAAGACAGTTTCATTTTAGAGTATAAGTAACTATGTTCACTGTACTCTGAAATTAAGGTAACTATTTAAGAGAATGTTATTTGCATTTATGTTCTTTTAAATTTATGTAGTAAAATGATTTGTGTTTTAATGTATGAACCTTGTGACTTCATTCTTGTATTAAATAACTGGATTTCAGACGGTTTCAAAAAAAAAGTTTTAAGTTCTTGGTCTCTACCGAGACATAGAAGTGAAATTGTTTGTCTCTGTAATTGTCTGTGTAGTATGTGCCTAAAAGATCATTGCTAATTTAACAGTAGTATTGAGCTAATTTGAATAGTTTTATTAAAAATATTTTCATTATACTTTCAGCACCAGGAAAAGTTGCAGATAAGGTCATAATTGAAAACACTAGGGATTCTACCTTTGTATTTATGGAGGGTTCTGAGGATGCCTATGTTGGATATATGACAATCAGGGTAAGTTTTAACAGCCATAGCATACATCATTCAATAATGTATAATAGTGTGTAATTTGTAAGCAATCTCTTTATAATGTGTGCTTCTTATTTCTAGTTTAACCCTGATGATAAATCAGCCCAGCACCATAATGCACACCACTGCTTGGAGATCACAGTGAACTGCAGTCCAATTATAGATCATTGTATCATTCGTAGTACTTGCACAGGTCAGTGTCATCTTTGATAGAATGGTGTAACTTGGGGAGATTGAGTGCTTGACTTTTTATAACCATTGGCATTTTGTGTGACGTTGTATAGGAATGTTCATGACAAGCCGCTTTGACTTGACTAGGGGCATATTACTAAATTAAAGGTGCTATTAATGAGTGCAAATGTTTGTAAATGATTGGATGATATTGATTTTAACATGATGTTAAAGCATGGTAATTTGGAGGATATGATGCGTCTCTTGCCTGTTTTATCACCTTTGCGTTCCTATTGCAGTCTTCTCATTTTGTTTCTTTCCCTGGTGTGCATACTTCTCTTTGTCCATGTTTTTTGTTTTTTTGCCCCTGTTTTCATTCGATTCAAGTCGATGGTGATGTTTAGAGAAGAGAGATAACGTGGGCTTGCAGTTTCATGTTCTTGGGCCATGAATGGAGAAGAATCAAGACTGCTTTTCCATTGCCCCATGGAATCTATAATCCACTCTTGTCCTCATCCATATTTGTGCCAGGCCTTATTTTTGTGTTGTGCTGCAAAGAGGGGAATAAGAGGAGGAGAAATAGGCAGGGATTTTTGTCTTATTCTAAAATGTATAACTGTGTCTTCAAAAATTAGCAAAACAATGGAATTTTCTGAAATCAGCTTTCAATCTGCCAAATTTAGTTGACAATGAAGAGCGGTAATTAAATAAAAGTCTGTCTTTGTCCATCATTCCTGTTCCTTACTAGTTCTCTCTAGTTAAGAACTTAATGTCTCTGCTGGTCTGGGGGTGAAACATTTTATCTGAAAAGTTTTTAAAATGCCTGCTGCGCAAGATATATGGAAGTTAGGCTGATTGATCAATGAAGCTGATTGATCTTGAGTAATTATCCTGACTCTTTTTCCTTTTACAATGGGCCAAAAACCCAACTTCTTGATTATTGTCTGCCTTCAATGGCACCTTAATTTGATGGATTTATGATTTTCTCCTCCTCTAATTCTCTCTCTCTTTCATCAGCCAACCACTGAAGCTCCTTTTTTTCAGAATAGGCTTGATCCTTATTTAATGGTGTGCTTTGCGGATGCATTAGGAATCTCAGATGTTGGAAGCTGATCCTGAGTGATTATCCTGACTTTATTTCCTTTTGCACAGGCCAAACACACAGCTTGATTATTGCCTTCCTTTAAGAGTACATTGAAGAACAAAGTATTTATGATTATGTACTTTGAGACCTGTTGTTATTGCGACTGTACTTTTTGAAAAATATAATATTCATGGGGATAAAAACAAACTGGAACTCTGAATTGCATGATCAGAATACATTCTTTGATAAATTATCATAGCTATCGCCTGCAGCTGTTGTTTTGGATAGTGTGCTTATCAGGTCAAAATAGCACTGACTTTATTTTAATTATTGTACTCGAGACATCCAGATTTTCTGGCTTCTACACCGAACTTTATAGATCGATTGAACCAAGCAGCAACTGTACTTAGAACTGAACCCTTTAGTCTCTGATTAGTCACCATGAACCTGAGTATTCCAATACATTCCTGAGCTTTCTCCCACCATTTCTCTCCACAGAAATTCGACCAAAACCTGGGTACCAACATTCTGCCGTACACATCTATCAACCCTTACCTATATTGTCTTGAGGACCCCAGTACCTCAGATTTAACATGTACAACCTGTTTTACAGCCCTTCAGGGCTTTCTCCTGTCCATTTCATTAATACCCATGCCCCACTCCTTTGTCTTCCTCAGGGTTCATTCCTCTGACTCTTGCCTATTGTGCCTTTCCATTTGTCCCCATCTGACCATTAGTGGCCAAGCCTTGAACAGGATAAAACCCTTCTCTTCCTTCTTTGTGACAGTCCTTAAAACTCACTTCTTTGGCCTAGCTTTTGGTCATCCACCTAATATCTCAAAAGTTAAGTATCTTGGAAAATTTTGTATTTTCAAGGTCATATTCAAATGCAAGTTGTTGATCATAAAGCGTACATGTATTTTCAGGGAACTGAAAGGAATGAATAGTGCTATGGATCTGAGTTGGAATTGGTGTCTTCGGTCATATGTCATATTTTAATTCCAAAAATCATTTCATTGAAATCGTTACAGTTGATTTATTGTACAATTCTTTGTTGCAGTTGGCTCCGCTGTGTGTGTCAGTGGCCAGGGAGCATCTCCTACGATCAAACACTGCAATATTAGTGATTGTGAAAATGTTGGGCTATATATAACAGATCATGCACAGGTATGATAATCCAAAATGCAAGTTACCTTATTTTAATAATTTTGTTTTCACTTATAGTATAGTTAGTATAATCTTTTTATTTCATAGGGAATTTATGAGGACAATGAGATTTCAAACAATGCTCTTGCTGGAATCTGGGTAAAAAACCATGGAAATCCTATCATCAGGAGAAATCAAATTCATCATGGGCGTGATGTTGGGGTCTTCACATTTGATCATGGCATGGTAACTCTTATTACTTTCAATAAGGATTTGGGAATTTACGAGTTGGGTAATTACTGCATTATGGTTTCATTCGTAATAGGTGTTTGGGCTGGGATGTGACAATTCATCCACAGTTTAACTAGAACTGTTCTCTAAGGTATATTGCCATAAATGTTGGCTACTGCTGCCAACGTTCCAAATCTTCTGCGCTATTATTTATTTACTAACTAATTGGCTGAATGTATCTCAGCTAAAAACGGAGCACTGAGAATTTCATTCTTCCAGAAAGATATACAGATATTTTGAGTGAGTGGGTATAAACTTCACAGATGGAGTTTAATGTAGAAAGTGAGAGGTCATGTACTTTGGTATTCAGAATCAAAAGTCATGCCATTATTTAAATAGGGACAGACTCTAACAAAGTGCAACACAGATTTGGGTGTTCTTGTCCATGAAACGCAAAAAATTAACATGCATATGCAACAAGTAATTAAGGCAATTCGAATTTTGGCTTTTATTGCTTAGGGACTGAAGGTAAGGATGTCTTGTTACAACTGTTCAGGGTGTTGATGAGGTCATAGCTGGAGATTAGGTCCAGTTTTGGTCCCTGCCTGTAAGAAAGGATGTACTGCATTGGAGGCAGTTCAGAAGCGATTCACTATGATTCCTGAGGTGAAGGGGTTGACTTACCAAGAATACTGAAACAGGTTATTCTCTAGAGTTGACAAAATTGAAGGGTGATCTTATTGAATTGTGCAAGGTTCCGAAGAGCTTGATAGGATAGATGTTGAGAAGGTTCTTCAACAGAAACATCATTGCAAAATAAAGCATGCTAATTTAAAGCTGATTTGCAAAGGAATTTCTTGTGCCGGAAGGTGGTGAATGTCTGGAATTCTTTACCCCAGAGAATTGCGAAAGCTAGATCACTGAAAGTATTTACAGTATTGAAATTGCAGGGATTTGAACGCTATAATGAACTTATACAAAAGAAAAGTTGAGATCAACAGGTTGAATGATCAGCTCCCCTTATTTCTTGTATTATGTTGTAAAACAGATATCTACCATCGCTGAAGTCAGTTCTGGTACACAACTTGAAAATTTTGGTGGGTTATTGGTACTTGCCAAAATGGACGGGTTTCATTTTTTAAATTTTCTAATCAACCTGTTTAGAGATGTTATCACATTCCTGTAGAGTAGGTGGACCTTTTTAATCAATCTGTTTAATGATGCCATTGCATACCTCTGGAGCAGGTAGAACTTGAACCTGGACCTCCTGGTTCACAAGTAGGGACACCACCACTGATCACAAGATGGATGATCACAATAATGGATTTCATTAGAATTAGAAAATAGGCCACAGCTTTCAAATGCTTAGTTTGTGTTTAAGTGATCAGAAGCAACTTTCTGGATCTGATCTACTCAGTTGATGTTGATAGTGGTAAGTGAAGTCTTCACTAGATGACTTGTATTCAGTTTGTCTTGCCACTGCTAAGCTTCTTAGTTTTCAGTTCTAAAATGTCTTAAGTGAATTTTCTAGACTTTACATGGAGTGAAGAATGGCTGTGTTCTGCTGTTGAAACAAGGAACTTGTTTGTTAAGAACTCAACTGCTAATTCTTATTGTTTACATATTCCTTTAAGCTTTAGCTTGGCTATTCATTTTATGTAATCCCTTGAAGAATTATCATGGTTCCAGCTTTCTAAATCCCCTCTAACCCTTAACCAAGTGTTCAGTTAGATTGTGGCAGTGCTTCTGCCATGCTCAACATCAAGTTTTCACTGGAACCATTTATACATGTGGCTTATAGCTAGGTATTATCAAGATTATAAAAGTTCTGGGAATGTTTTATAAGAACCTAACAATTTGGAGAAGGAGTCAGCTACTTTCAAGCTTGCATAACCATTTGATAAGATCTGGTTATAGTCTCAACCTGCTTTCCTGACTACCCAATTTACCCTTTGATTTCCTTGGTAGTCAAGAATGTAATCTACCTCTGCCTTTAAAAATATCCCTTGACCCTGCTTCTGTTACTGTCTGGAGAAGAGAAGTTCATAGACTGATGACCCTTCAAAAGCAAACAACTCAGCTTAGCTCTGTCTTAAGTTTCATTTTTAAATAAGATCTCTTATTTTTAAACTCAGTCCCTAATTCTAGACTATCCTAAAATGGGAAACACTCAGCATCTATCCTGTTAAGTCCCTTCGTGATTTTGTTTTGGTAAGATCACTTCTCACATTTCTGAACTCCAACTGGTAAAGGCCTAAGCTATCCAATTTTTCCTCATGAGCTAACACTGTCACCCCGGGAATCTGTTGCATGCACTTTTGCTGAGCTGTTTTTAATGGAAATATGTCTTTTAACAAGACCAAAATGGTAATCTAAAAGTGGCCTCGTGAATGTTGTGTACGACTGTCACAAAACTGCCCTACTTTCATGTTTCCTTCCTGGTGCAAGAAACAATGGGGTCATGAGTCTATGAAATTCTCTTCTCCAGACAGCAATAGAGGCAGGGTCAATTGATATTTTTACTACATTTGAGAGATTTAACACCATTCAGGACAATGCAGCCTGGTTGGTTGGCACCCTTTTCATCACCTTCAACTTTTAATAACCTGTATCATCAATGCACTGTAGTAACAATGTGTAAGGTCAACACAATGCATTTCATCAAGCCTCCTCCAACAGCACCTTCCAAACACATGGCCTGTACCACCTAGAGGTGCAGAGGCTGTGGATATATGGGAGCATCACTGCCTGCAACTTGCTGGCCAATCCAAAAAACAGCATTCTAACTTGGAACGTTCCTTCACAGGATCAGAATCCTGGAATTCCCTCCCTAACACCACAGTGGATATCCCTACATCTCAAGGATTGCAGTATTTCTTAGAAGGCAGCTCACTACCACTTTCTGAGGGCAAGTATGGATAGACAATAAATGTGGACCGCACCAGTGATATTCACATCCCATGATCAAAATAAATCCCTTGAACTTCTAACATTTTGATATTCATTTACCAGGGCACCTGGATTCCACTGTACCCGTTCTGCAATCTCTCTCCATTTAAATAATTGTCTTTTTTAAGATTCTTCCTGTAATTACCATATTACATGCCGTCTGCCAAATTTTTGCCCAGTCACTTAACTTATCTATATTCCTTTGGAGTCTCCTTATGTCATAACCTACTTTCCTACCTATCTTTGTGTCATTAGCAAATTTAGCAATAACACATTCAGTCCCTTCATCCACTTAATTGAATCAGGTTGTAAATAGTTGAGGCTCAACAGCACTGATACCTACTCCACTCATTAGATCTTGCCAACCTGAAAGTTACTCATTTATGCCTGCTCTGTTTTGTTAGCTAAACAATCCTCTTTCCACGATAATATGTTAACTCTTATTCTTTGTGTAATAACCTTCCATGTGGCACTTTATCGAGTGCCTTTTTGAGATGGCAAGATGTAATGAGTGGACTGCCACAGGGATTGGTGCTTGGACCTTAACTGTTTACAATCTAGATCAGTGACTAGGATGAAGATGCTGAATGCACAACTGCTAAGTTTGCTAATGACACAATGGATCGTGTTCACAGGATCCTCATCCATGTTGCTTGTTACTTTTTTTGAAAAACTAATAAATTAGTTAAATTTGATTTCCCTTTCAGAAAACCATGTTGCTTCTGCCTGCTTTCAATGAGGTTTTAAGTGCCCTGCTACATTTTTTCTTGTCACCCTGTTCAGAGATGTTACTACAAATCTCTGGAGCAGGTGGAACTGGATCCCAGACCTCAAAATGCCCTGCTCATTACATCCTCAGTAATAGATTCCAGCATTTTCCCTTAGACAGTTTTAAGATCTCGATTTATAGATTTACTGCCTGTCCCCTTGCTTTCTTGAATAAAATAGTTAATTCACACTTTTCCATTCTGATGGCATATTTCTTGAATTTAGTGAATTCAGAAAATTAAAACCAATATATCAGTATTTCAGCCACATCTTTTAAGACTCGTGGATGAAGTCCATCAGGATCTCAAGACTTGCCATGCCTTCAGTTTGTAGATCATTTGAGCAAGATTGCTAGTTGTTGTTTTCCATCTTCCCAAAGCACTGCAATACCTAGCCTATCTTTGTGTTGTTTTTTATAGTTGTCTTAAAGGCCCCCAAACCAATATCTTTTAAGATGTCTTGCCTTTTAACACTATCCATAACTTGCTCCTGCAACCGCGACTGCTTTTGCACAGCATTTTTAAAAGATTCTAATCTGTTAGATTTGCCTGTACCAACTTCAATTCACCGCTATTAACATTCCACAATATTACACCTTTCTTTTCCCTTTATATTTCTGTACGTACTTAAATTACTTTGCATTCTTGTTCAACTCTGAAGGTCTCCTGAATTGAATGCATTGAATACATTTAAATGCTTATTGTTATTGATATTCTGATTTGTCTACATGACCACACTCAGTTAAATGCTTTGATGTTTTGGATATGATAAGACAGCATGTAAATGCAGGTCTGTCTTTATCTGTTTCTTGCTGTGAGCACATGTTTAGTCTGCTATGTTCCTGCTGAATAGTTCACTAGATGTTGTTTGTGACAGTGTTAACTACATCTCTATCACTGAATGGAAGATGGAGTTCGCTAAATCTTCAAAGTATACATTGATGTGCGCAGTTGTAAATTGGCAAGTTTGAAGTGCATTTGCCAAAATACATTGGACGCATTCAATTTAGTAAAAGCTTCGATTGTAGCAAATTGAATTCTTTCTTACCTAAGTAGTTCCTTCACATTACAAGAGTCAAGGCACATTGGTTTTTGCACCATCCTGGAGGAGTTAGTCAGCTATTCAATTTTTATAATCGTACCAATTGCTAATTCGTTGCATTGCCTTTACTAATTTAAGGCAAACAGCCAAACTTTTGAAACAAATCATCCATTAATTCCCTCTGGAGACTTCTCATCCACATCTGCAGCCTACATTTATTTAGCAGTTAGCATTGTTTGACAAACCTGGAGTCCTGA